CGTCAAACAAACTATCTTCTTTTGCCCATGGTTTTCCGGTGTTGAAAAGTAGAGATTTTCTGGTGTGGTTTATGATCGAAATATCATTATTCGAAATGGTAGTTAAATTAGAAGCCCAAGATAATGCTTGGTCCAGTCACTCTAGTTTACGTTCTCATTTCTTATAACTTCAAAATGCAACAATTTCGATTTGACTATTCATTAAAGAATATTCCTATACCATTGCAGGATGCTTATTTGAAGAATTTGATTGAAAAAGTAGAAAGAGTAATAAAACATATGATATGGAAAGCTCATTTCTTTAATAAAAACAGTATCAATAAAAAACCAAAACAACAATTTTGGCCTTGCATCTAGGAAAAAAATCCTATAGGAATTTTGTCCCAAATTCTTATAGGAATTTTTCCTATAGGAATTCCTATGGGAAATTTTCGTAAGGGAAGAAATTTCGCGTAAACAACACAAACAATACATAGTAATCCACACACTCCCACAGTTCGATTAGGTATTTCTGCTTTAACAACACTTAAAATACTCATTAAAAATTCATAAACCTTGTGGCAAATCATGTCAGCCATAATATCTCACATGGAGTGTATTCTTTATATAAAACTCATCTTCATTAGTATTCTTTATATAAAACTCATCCTAATTAGTATGTGATGTAGTCATAGATTAGTATGTGATGAACTCATCACCTAATTAGTATGCGATGTAGTAGTGTGATGAAGACAGGTATGTAAATCTTAGCAAAGCGATTGGTATAAAACAAGAAAAAGCAATGTTACCTCATGGGATTAACCTGTTCTATTCAATTTCGAAGGTTTTAAGGGTTTATATTCTATAGTAATTTTCTTTTAATTTTATTTCTTCATGATTATTTGATTGTTTTAATAATTTATGGAGAGAAAAAATGTTTAATATATCATCGTCTTGTGCTGAAGAAAATTGTTTGCATTTATTTTATTACTGCACAGATCACCAGCGGGATAAATAAATACACAAAATTCTATGATGAAAACTTGTAGTTTGTTTTTGCGTTTTATAGTTTGTTTGCGTGTTAACGCCTCTTAACCGCTGCATTAATTATACAAAAAATTGAAAAGTTTATTTAATTACGTATTACATATTGCTGCACCATCTCGATGATCACAAGCTCTTCGTGAGGATGCATTGATATGCAATTGTATGGTGGGCCGATGATAGCTGTATTGACATTTCCCATTTCTTTGAACTTTCTTACATAACGTTTTATTGTTGAAATATTTGCAGGTAAAAACTTACTTGTTCTAGTTCGAGATTTAATATTTCGGCTAAGAAAATTGCTCTCCAGCGTAGATCTTGGTGGTATGGGGCCAGTATTTCATTTACATGAACATTCCCAAAGTTCTTTGCGTGCTCAATGTTCAACATACATAAATACATAACTTTGAAAGTCAACCGGTTTTGAATTGACTATATATACTGATGAGGCATAGGACGCCGAAACATGCATGTCTGCAGATTGTACTATTACACTCCTTCACTTCGGTGTTGTAGAGCACTCTGTGGAGTTAATTGGGTGTCCATTAGCAATAATGCAAGGCTCACTTCCCTCGTGGTTGTTTGAGCACTCTGGCCCCATGTCGCTCTGCACATGTCTGGATGCGTTGATGGCCCGTGTTGTACCACATGCGCTTGGGAGAGCAAGTGTCATGTATATCAATACAAAGGTCATCGCGCGTCTAGATGTGTACCAAGCTGCACTGATGAGGCGTAGGATGCCGAAACATGCATGTCATGGCATTGTACTCTCTCTCTCTATATATATATATATATATTCTCTCTCTATATATATATATATATTCCAATTAATTGATGTGAAATTGTATACTTCCTACCTAGAATATCTTTGCTAATTGCGGGTTTGTATAATTTAATAATAATATATAGCATGTTAACTTAAGGCTTTCCATGCTTTGCATATTTTTTACTCCTGTTTAGCCAATTTAAATAAAAAATATAAATTTAAGTTAATGGGCAATGCTCACTGTATGACAATTGGAAATTTCAATGCATTATAGGCACACTACAGTTTACAAAGCTGTGGAACTTTTATTCATCTATTGCTTATAAATAATTTATTGCGATGCCTCCTGTTCGACGAATAAGAGATGCAAATGAAGGAAGCACATCAAGCAATAACTTTTCCAATGTCAGAAATAATGTAGTTACCACTACAAGTCTTTGAAGACAGTGTGCCAAGAAAGGACTACCAACACATGGATGTCAAAATGTATTAGTTTCTCGCTTACATGTCAAACTCTGGTGGTGGAAGCAATGTAGACTTGGATCAAGTCTGTCTCTCGCAGAGTCCACCGTGAAGCGGTTCGCAAGGTGCAATAAAGGAGAGAGAGACAGACTTGCTTGGCTCACCTTCAATGTTTTGAATCAGATTTATTATTTTGGCGGGAATTATGTTAATAGACAGGTGTTATTAATTTAGCGGTTTTGTTACAAATACGAAAACCCACAAGTGTCAGAGCAAAATTATTTTAAAACACACCTTTAATTAATAAGCTTTGTACTTAAACATGCACTTTTTATTAATCGTATCTATAGACTCTTCTAGTTAATTATTATGACTATAAGCACAAAATTTGTTGTGAACAAAATATCCCTGACTATATAAAAATTTGGTGTGATCATGAAGTTTGCTGTGACACATTAATAGTGTGACACTAATTGTACAGTTTTATATAGTATAATCATATCAATAACCTTCAAACATATTCATCATTTAAATATAAACAAAACCGAAGCACGCTATATATTTTTAATCCAGATACTTTGTTATTTCCACGTTATTGTCAATTAGCATAAATTATTGCAATCTAGTTATGATGTGTCACCAACGGAAAACAGATCGGTAAATTTGGCGCGTTTGCAGGTGAGCCAAGTCTGTCTCTGAATTTCCTGTGTTATTGTACCTCGCACTCTCCCTTGGACTCTAGAGAGACGGACTTGATCCAAGTGCGCCTGGTAAACAAATGCATTATTCCCACACTAATCAGTCCACCAATGCAACACAGCTAATCCCCTATGGAAATGGCTTCCATGAGGTTCCAGTGGCATACATCAGGTGAATTTTTCGATTTAGCAAAATGTCTGCATAAAAACATGTACACAGGTAACCAATCCAATGAGCCCATTATCTTAAACCTTGAGAACTCTGTGATTAAGGCCAAAAAGCATCTCAGCCAACCACCAGAATCACTGATATTGAAGAGCGGACAACCATCTCTACATTGTATATGAGCATTATGACCCACCAGTTTCTCAGTTAGGCCCAAGAACTCCTTCAATGTATGAGTTTGATATGCCATGCAGCCCAAACTCACCATGGCCTGGATTGGTGTATGTACAACCACAAATTTTGATGTAACAGTCCACTTAACCCTAGTCTCAACTGGTCCATGATTGATCAACAACTATGGCTGATATTTACCATTGCACTGAATATGTTTGCATGGCAATATCCTATTTTTTCAATGGATCCCAAAACTGGTCTTCCTCAAGGGGTGAACGAGTAGGCTTTTCCCAATTAATTCAACTGAGCGAGTGTTTTCCCAACAGTCATGCTAATACTGCCATGTATGTAACAGGTGCAATCAATCACACCCAACGTATCTCTGTCCCTCTTTCAAATCCAGAGAAGGTGAGAATGAAGAGCAAACCTCAAAACGAGGTCACAAATCTTCAAGATCAAAATGTGACTGAAGTAATACCATTACCTACCCCTGTTTCTGTCCTGGAACAACCTTTGATATTAAAGCCCTATCTGGTCATCCAGACAAAAAGTTTCTTTCAGAGCTTTGTAACAATTTTGTTTACGGGTGTGCACATAGGTTTTCAGGGGCAACATGCCCCCAGGTTTTCAAAACATTTGCCTACCACTTTTGCTAATCTGTAAAGTGCTTCCTCAAATTTGGCAACTGAGGTTTCTCTGGCCCTTTTGATTCTCCCCCTTGATAATGCAACCAAATTCCATGAATTTAACAAAAGAATTTAACCAAATTCCATACAATTTTTCATTTCTTTTATTCAAAATCAGACTCAACCAGCATAAATCATAGCATTTCAAAAGAAGATTTTAGTCTACAGTATATCACAATAGATGATGATCTTGAGGGTATTAAGCATTTTTGGCTCAGGCTGCATTCTGGCTAAACCTGACATTGAATCAGCTTTTAGGCTACTACCAATCCATCCAGACAATTATGAGCTTTTAGGTATGTGCTGGGAGGGGAAATACTATTTACAGAGTGCCCCATGAATTCTACTCCACAAATGTAACATCTCATTTGTATGTTCCCATTCTTGATGATTTCCTTCTCTTTGAACCCTCAGCAATTACACCACCTTTTAACAGGGTGAAGTTTAACAAAAATGTTATCTACCTTTGAAAACATTAAGATCCCAAGAGCTCCAGGGAAATCAAAAGGCCCTTCACAAGTACTTGAGTTCTTAGGCATCCTATTAGACACCATTAACATGAAAGCTAGTCTACCTCCAGACAAAATTGAGAGGGGCAATCCAATTGGGGTTCAAGTGGTTTCAGGGAGCATGGAAACCACATCACTCACATAGTAACATAGGAAGGTTCTTTCTGGAGCTATTAAAATGAATTTGTGTGACACAGAATCAAAGGCCTTCACATCTATAAAGACAATGTTTAAGCTCAGATTGTTCTCCTGGTGGTCCTTGACAATACATCTTAATAATAGTCCCAAAAATACCATCACTCTGCAGTAGTGTACCTAGGAAAAAATTATTGGTCACGCTAATTGCTAAGTACCAATTTTAATATTAGGGCCTCTAGATCGTCGGAAACTGCCTTATCTATTCATATTCATAGAGTTAACAGGCAGTAAGATGTCTGATTTTATAACAGTTCAACGTCCAAAATTGAGTGATTTAAAGTCAAAATATGGACATGCGGCAGATAAGAGTTTCTACACATGAAGCAGAGCGATGAGTACCAAATGCATGTTATTCTTGGGGACAGTACGTACTGTAGAATTAAGACAGAAGTTTTCAAGGGGGAGCCGGGTGATCCCATAGTTGAGGGTATTACCTTCAGGTGGACAATCCATGGTGGGGAGTTTTCGAGTGATGGGTGTTGGTTTTCTCGGGAGGTTCAGGATAGCCAACAACTTTATAGCTTAGATGTTCTAGGAGTGGAAGTTCAGGGTGAGAATGATCAACTTGATGTGCACAGAGAGTTTAAGGAAAACATTGTTCATGACATAAACAGGAGATACAAGGTAAGAGTTCCTTTGGATTCCAGGAACTCAGTTGAGTGAGGACAAATGAAACGCAGAGTAGATCACGTTTGAAGCGAGTGGAGAGGAAACTTCAGCAAGATGAGTGTTTGCGGAAGGATTATGAAAAGATCATTATTGACCAAGTTGCGGCCGGAATAATAGAGAAAGCCCCTGACACGCCAACTGGGGAACGGGTATTTTACATGCCACATAAACCTGTACTCAAACAAGATGCAATTACGACAAAAACTCCTTGGATGGTTTTCAATGCCAGCACCAAACCACAACCTATTTCAAGCATTGTCAATGAATGTATGTACCCAGGTCCTCCTTTCCAACCCCTGTTGTGGGACATACTAGTCTGTGCACGAATGTTGCCATACCTGTTGATTGGAGATATTGAGAAGAGAGAAACTGTAGGAAATGGGTGAAAGGCAAGGTGACGCGAATCGTGAAAGGGAGTGGATGGAGTAGCGAGAGGAGACGTATTGTTGCATAAGGGTAATAGACTTGAACGGCCTCTCCAAGCGATTTGCCCTTTGGAGATTAGGAGCATGATTACAGAGACTGTGGATAGTGATAATAGTTTAAAATATGGCTCAAACAACCATAATACTGTTGATATGACACAGCTTATAAGTAATTTCCATAGGTTTGTATCTACAGGTCCTTTATACATATGTACTTGTTGTGATCAATTATAGTATAAACACAATGTCTAACCGATTAAGGTTGCTTAACCCTGATATTGCTAGTAAGCATTTACAAAACATTAAAAGTGTCAATAATGTCGATTGGCTTTGTAATACATTCAGCAATCACTTGAAAAAAGCATGCAAATGTGCAATTGCAAACGGCATGAAGTTTCCATGTGTAATTGTAAACGGCATGAAGTTTCCTGAAAAACCAGATTTTTTTACCTAAATGAATTACAGTGTAGACTTATTGCTCCACGTTAGCATTTGAAAAGATTTTCTAAGCTCCCACAGGTGGACAACTCAAAATTATGGGCAATGTTGTTAATGTTATCACATGAAACAAGTACTATTAAAGTGCAATTGAAACGACGATTACAATATAAAAGTTCTGCACTTTCTTTGAATATAAGAGCTCGTAAAGTCATGCAAGCAGCAGTCCAGACTGCAGAGTAGGGCAATTGCGCCCCCAAGATTTGTTACGACACAAATTTTAGTGCCCCCAAAATATATTATGCAACAATTTTCCATGCACTATCTGCCCATTGATATGGGTAACATTTTTTCTGTGTTGGTGTAATATACTGAGGTGAATATGATGCTTGTGATGTTACTCTGACCACGTAGCTCAGTTGGCAGAGCATTGGGCTAGTATTCCAAAGGTCGTAGGTTTGATTCCCACCGTGGCCAGGCATATTTTTCAAGCCTGCCCAGTGTGGATATACACTCAGAGTAACATCACAAGCATCATGGGTACCATTCTTGTGCTAGGAATTTTAAAAAAGCATGTATATTTCCTGCGTATAATGTGTATATCAGCACATACAGTTCTTGAATTTAGTCTTCAATGCCAAAGTTTGCCTATTAAAAGGCAGAAGTTAACAGAACTTGATGATGTAATGGTATATTGCTGTTCATAGTATAACTTATCTAGTTATTTACAACTATTTATGTGTGACTGCAGTGAGTCTCACTGAATACAGGTTCGTAAGTCGTAACTAAAAAATCTAAAATGTCAGAAATTGTCAATTGAAAATCATTCACAGTATCTTACAGTATAGACAGTGTCTTGCTATTGCAATAAGGTTCACTCTTCAATTGTGATAATTGGTAAATGCTGTTTGACTTATTGAATGTCAGCTTTGATAACATGAAGACACTTCGGCAACTCCATACTTAATCTTCCCACGACCTTACTCATGTCGTATTTCATAGCTGCTCGTCCTTTGCTATCTGTAAAAATTGGTAGGCGATGTCTAGCGATGCCAAGTTTCTTATCACCTTCAGTGTAAGCCCGACCTATCTCTTGCATGGTTTTCAGGCATGAAAGAGGGTTAGGCAAGCTCCAGTCCACAATAGCTCACTTTACCAAAACATCATTGCTTTGCCCTCCATTATTTTTATGAGCACCAATGACACTGTAAAACCCCTCCACCACTGCTTCGCAGCCCCCATCAGCCAGTGCTATACCTAGGGCAACACACAATTCCTTTCCAAGCGAACCATATATGCACGCATTATTGTAAAATGCAGCAATAACATGATCTTCGCACAATTGCGCTTTCACTACTGCACCAGAGGTGAAATGCAGCTCAAACCATTTGTCCAGAGAATCTTCATCTATTGCGGACAAAGCAGTTAAGTTGCTCTGTTTAAACTCAAGGATGGATTTCCCTTCATGATCAGCAAACATGGTATCTGTGCAGTTTCCCATACTTTCCCAGAAAATCTTCTTCAAGGTTGTTTTGAACTTCTTCAGTATGGTGGCAAGAGATCCAAACTAAGGTCTTCATCTGCAAGTGCTTGGACATGAGGCATAACACAGACGTGCTGGTAGAATTCACTGAATTCGCCACTTCCATCTGCTTCCCATTCAATTCGATCTTGCCTGGATATCACCAACTTGCCGGGATATCACCAACTTGCCATCCGTGACTTTTAAACTTGTACAGTTGTTCCACTATATGCTTAAGGTCAAAGACTTTGCCAAGTTTCTTTCCTGGGATCTGGACAATTTTGTCGAATCAAGATTTAAGACGCACTCGAATTTCTTGGCATAGTGTAACGAGATCTCGAATACGTTCATTTGGCTTTCGAGAATTCCAGGTATATGTTGTCTTCTTCCCATTCTCCACCTCTGTGGTTTCGTCGACAACCAACCAGCCACAATCGTGGACATAACTGGTTAATAAAATTTTAATTTGCCTCTGTGAGAGTTTAAGAGGCTGTCTCTCTAAAAACCGACCAGTGGATTGTTACATCGAAAACAGATTTCCTTCATTTTTCATCCACAATTTGCCTTCATTCCACTTACTTTTAAACCGTTATTAGAATCGTCATCCGATACATTTTTCATAAATTTTTAGCAGATTTTCTATTTTGCTGCTAGAGCGGCTGAGAATCACCGAAAATGAGAGCCCTCAACACCTTGCAGTCACTTCATTTTTTGCTCGCTTATTCGCTTTAGTCAGGGATTTTCTTTTGTTGGCATTATATATATAGACATTGCTCTCCACACGGTTTGGATAATCTAAGTTCTTTGATTTATTTTACATGAGCTATGGACTCTTTAACTTAACCGTCTTTTTCAATATGGCGAAGCACTGGATATGTGAAGTTTTATTAAAGATAATTTCTCTGAACTGGCACCATGTCTGATTATGTAAGGTATATTTCATCGCAGTTAGATATCGAAAGTTCAGTAATTAAAAAACTTGTTGGCAAACGTGTTTTGGAAGCTTTTGACAAGCTTAAACTGTTAAAGTTATGCTATTTTAGTGCAATGTCTACACTTTGTTTACAATTGCCGAACCGGAAGTCTGTTAATTATTTTAACAAGAGTAGTTATTTCTGCTCTAAAGTAAAAAACTTTATTTTCTGTTATTGTTGACTGTGGTGCAGAATTGTAATGGTTTCTTATGGCAATGTTTTGCCTTTGTGTTCATCAGATATACATTTTGTTCTTAAAATTTATCCTAGTTGTATTATATATATACTGTACATTATAGTGAGGACTGACAAGGCTATATTTTACACTTTGTTTACAATTGCCGAATCAGGTGTCTATTACTGTATTAGATATTTAACAAATGTGCATGTAGCTATTACTATATTTTCTGTAAAGGAACTTTACATTCTAAACAACAGTATATACAATATTAATTTCATAATACTTGTACATTTTATATCCTTTGTTTTTGAATCAGTCATTAGGTGATTTAAGCAGTGTTCCTGAATTTGAGTCACCTTACCGCTTATGTTATGGAATTCATCGGTATTACTATTAAATTAATCAATAGTTCATTTGTACTGATAAGCGTTAGTCTTGACGTTGAATGATTGAATGCATTTATAGTTTATTTGCATTTACTCAGAACTTCAACCTTATATGGCTTATAAACAGTGAAATAAAAACTTTGGTTGTTAATTATTAACTGATGCATCTGAATAATAAATAATTCATTGTCATTGAAGAAACAAAGTAGAGTTATATTATTGTAAAAATATACTGTAATAATTCTTGGATATGGACAGAAACTGTTCACTTTTTGGACTTGGGAGTATTTGTTGTGGTGACAATCGTGGAGCGAGCAACCTTGTGAATTTAAATGAGTGTGAACAGGACGTCGAAGTGCACCTGTCAAGCTGTTACCTGTCAAGATCAAATTTAAAGGAATATGAACTTGTATTTGATTAAGAGCAGGTTTATTTCATGTCACTGCATGGGGAACAATTTAATAACATGAATATATGCCCAAGCTATCGCAACAAATTAGGGAAATTTTGGAGGCCTCTTCGATCATGCCAGTACCCTGAACATTGTGGTCCATCATAACAATGTAAAGGTAAAGACGTTATCAATGTTCAGCTTTCAGAGGCAGTGTTCAAATTATATAGAAAACTTGTTCAAGTCTTGGAAATAGAGCTTGAGAAATTGCTTGAAAATTTAAAACAAAAATTTAAAACAAATGTAAAAGTCAAAGCAATACCAAGAGCGAGTGAGATATTGCGAGACACACACAAATGCGAGCGCGTGGAAAACTGAAAAGGAAAGCGCACAGGGAAAGACGGGAAGGGAGAAGAGAAACCCTGTGCATGCCTTCCAATTTGCGCGTGCTCACAGAGACGACTGGGGACGAGTCAGACCTTCTATGAATCCTGATTTGCAGCGATATGTCAACAGTGTTGAGATGCATTTAAAGAAAAAATGAAGAAGGAAGGAGCGTGGGTGCATCCGACAAATCCTGATGGCGATTTGGATAAAAAATGAAGGAAGGGGAACATGTTAATTTAAAAATATATAAAATTTTCGGTGCGTTAATGGATCGAAAATATATAATTATACCTTTATATACCCTTATACCAATATATAATAAGTTTCAATCTGAACAAGGTTGACTGCTTTGTGGATTTTATTAATCGCCCATACTTCCATCAAGATGTTGCTTTTGACATGCACAAGCCGAGACTTGAGAGTGGGAAGACTATCGATATGCCAAATGTTGTTTGCACAGTCACAAAGTCGACAATTGTTGCACAGTATCTTCAATTTTGCAAGAACGAAGATTTTGAACCCTTGAGTAGATCAACACCCTTTCGCATACTGGATGTCAGGCAAGCGTCGCAACGAAAATCACTGCAGGGATTGGATAATACGGTGCCAAAGGTTCCGCTGCATTTCAAGATAAACGGTATCAGAAATGAACTAAATGTGGCTCATCCAATTTTCTATGACGCATACAACCTTTGCGACTTTTGGAAGGTTGGTTAAACTTACTTATTCAATGGAAGGTCGGTTAAAATTACTCACGAGATCCTACTTGAACAAGTTTTCCGTATAATTTGAAAACTGCCTCTGAATAAAGCTGAACATTTATAACCTCTCTACCTTTACATTGTCGTGATGGACCACAATGTTCTGGGCACTGGCATGATTGAAGAGGCCTCCAAAACTTCCGTAATTTGTTGTGATGGCTTGGGCATATATTCATGATATTAAGTTGTTCCCCAGTGACATGAAATAAGGTCCACACACACCGGACGCGACACGAAAAATATCTGAAGAAGTGATCATCGCAGCAAAGTTTGTGCACAAACTGGCGTCGATTCTTCGCACGCAAAAAAACAAAATGGTGGACACCGAAGAGATGTTGTTGCATTTGTTCATTTACAGACGGTGTTGGCCGCTCAGAAGACGAACATGGGTTCATGAGATAATAAGAAAAAGGCAGGAGCTAGGTGAATTTAACCGTCTCGTGCAAGAACTTAGGTTAGATCAACAAAGATTCCTTCAGTATTTCAGAATAACTCCTGAAACGTTTGACAATCTGCTGCATGTCGTTGGACCTCATATCCCCAAACAAACAACAAACTATAGAAAGCTGATAAGTCCTGAACAAAGACTGGCAATTTGTTTAAGGTCTTTTGTAATAATTTTGTACTCCATGTATATTTTAAAAATCAGGAAATTGATCTGGGTCTAAATTATATTTTAATAGCATAATGAATATAAACAAAGCTGTAATATTAAATGTACATTATCAATTATGAACTGCTTTCCTTTGCCCCAAAATCATCACAAACAGTTAAATCTGTCAGAAAAGGACAGTATAAGAAATAGTCTAACACTAGTAAACTTCATAAACATGCCACAAGGGTTAAAAGTTGGCAATGTTCTGGGAGGGGGAGAACTAACCACAGTAACTTTATAAAGGAAATAAGTATTACATGTATGATAGTGATACAAGATATTATTGTCAGTTCTGTTGTTATCGTAGAAAAAATGTTCAACCAATTATTTTTTTCTTTCCACCAGCATCACCACTTCGTCCTTTTTCTTCCCGTTTTCTTCTTAAATATGTATCTCGTAGATTTTTTTTTGGCAAATGTTTCTGAAAGTAAATATATATAATAATCATTTCTATTCATTAATAAAAGCAAAATAAGCTCAAAGTGTCGAACTTTGTCATTTTTTTAGGGATAATACAAAGTTGCCTGTATACTAGCAACTAGAACTTTCCCTAGAAAAACTTGCTTGTCTCATGTCTGGCTTAATGTTGAAAACATATATTATGAACTATAGTATAAACAAAGGATAATTTTATGATGAGAAAATATATCATTTTAAGAACAACTTTTACTGATTTAATGTCGTTGTTTAGTTACCTTCAACATTTAGCTCTTGGCTGATACTTGTCCATATATTCTCCTTCAACTCCACGTCCTTGTTGCAACTGTGTGTTCTGTCGTATAGTTCTGTAAACTTTTCCACCAACAAAATAAGCCTCTCATCTAGTGTTGCTTGAAAACAAGCCGCCACCATTTTCCCGCCTTCACCTAAAAAAACTCCGGACTTCTGATTGGCTAAAACTCTGCGAATATTTTGGCAAAGGAAAAAAAATCGCTCTCAAAGCGAATTTTCCAAAATCGCCCTGCGAATTTTTACATCTAATAGCAATTTCAATTAATTGATTTATTTCTGTTTGCACTGCCCTGTGAAAATCGCTGTCTTGTCCGGTGTGTGTGGGCCTATAAACTTGCTCTTAATAAAATAAGTTCATATTCCTTTAAATTTGATCTTGACAGGTGACAGCTTGACAGGTGCACTTCGACATCCTGTTCACACTCATTTAAATTCACAAGGTTGCTCGCTCCACAATTGTCACCACAACAAATACTCCCAAGTCCAAAAAGCAAACAGTTTCTGTCCATATC